TATTTGTGTCGAATTTGGTTGACGAAGCCAGTTTTCTTTCTGATGCAAGAAGCTGATATGTACCCGTGCAAACATTCAAGACTACAAACGATATTTACAAACACTCTCTTTATATGCTTCAGCCTTTGTATGGTGTAAGCCTGAGATCCATTTGTACTGTATATGTATGTACCTATTATTGTCAGTATAGTGAAAAGAAATTTCTGTATCTGCTCAAGATGTTGGTCTCATTCCGCAGCTGAAGTATCAAGCACGACACAATTTAGCTGGGTGATTAACATAAACACTCTAAGTCTTCTTAACTTTATGATAAAAGAAATTTTTTCGAGATTTACCATCTTGAACTCTAATACCTTCAAGTAGAGGAAAATTACCCACATGCTCATATACTAGTCCTACTTGTATGGCTGAACTTTGCTACTTATGTAGCTAGCATCGAAGTTGTTCAAATTCAGTGACGATTTAATGAATCGATTGGTCTGCTCCACCTCAGTACCAGCAGTGTCAATTGATCCGCAATTTTCACAGCCAGCAACATCATGTGACCCAAAGTCCATCTCGCTCATCTCTTCCTCACCTTGACTTACATCATCGGCATCACCAGCAATGTCAAACGACCCACAATCGTCGTCTTCACTCTGAGTGTCTTCAAAGAAGGTCTCATTTCTCCCCTCAATGGCGGGCTCGTTTGTTGGTGAGATTGAAGTAGCGAAATTGATATTTGTTGTTGTTGGCGCAGTAGGTGTGACCGTTAGTGTAGCCGATAGGGCGTCCATTTGTTCCGCGAATGTCAAATTTTGTTGAGTAGCCGAGTTCAGGCTGCTTCCACCTTCAAGTGGCGCGCAATTAACGTAAATTTGCCATGTTGGTGAGTGGAGAGCCAACCAATAAAACGTCAGACGATTGGCGCCTAGGCATCCAGTCCTATCAAAAGGCAATCTAGCCGGAGCAGTGGGAAAGTGTGCTGCACAATTGCCGTCGTGGAAAACTCGGGTATAATCACACCAAGCCTCACAAGGACCTTCATGAGAGGGGGTGAATCCTTCCGTGTCCGAGTGGGTCCACTGAATTTCGTTGGGAAGAGGTTGGGGGGTACTGTTAGGATTAGTGAGGCCACACTCAAGGTTGGCACCATGGGTGACGATCTTGCCGAAATTGTTTATAAAGTCTTTGATTGAAGAGTATTTACTCGAGTCAAAAGCCTCATTGAAGAATTTTGTGTTGAGTGCTGGCGATCCACCGAATGAACCTGAAAACCCAGAAGCACTAGCTTCGATAGTAGCAATGAATTGCGTCTTGTCCACATTTACTGGAAAAGATACTGCTGGCTGGCTAAGAAAACCGTGTGCACTTATTTCGCTGATCAAGAGGGACGCAATCTCTATTAGGGCTGCAAAGTTATCTAAATGCATGATGGAATGTTGGAGCTCGTGAGCCTGACCGCGCAATTTGATAAATAGTGCGCATTAATAAATAAGACATTCATATGCATTTTCATAAGCGTAATCGAAAAAGACCGAATTGTGTCGAAGGTGTTGGCGAGCAGCGCTGACGACTGACCAACTGAGCACTAAAAAATCGAAGTATTTTCCTTTCCCGTACTTTTTGTAAGCAGACACTCAAAATCAGTACAACTTTGGCCTTTAATAGAACAACTGGATATTATAATGAAATTTAAAAATTGTTTAGACCAGCCGAGTTTTTTGCACGCACAGATTTTATATGTTTTTATTTATCACACGAAAATGCCAGCAGATATTGAGAATGAGGCTGTTTAAAAAGACTTGATGTTACACGGGCCATGACTACGTTAAATTATTTTTGATGAGGTCTTGGTCATTGAGGTGGCCGATGCAGGAAGCAAGGTGAAAATATGAAATATAGCCAGCGAGCTATAGAAATGTCTTCGCGCCCAGCCCCCTCATTTTCTGGTTGTAGTCGTGCGGTATTCAATATTGGTCATGGTGCGATACGGTAATAGCTGCTTCTGTCGTCAGTGCAGAGTAGATGATTTGTAATTCTGAAGTTCTAGGTAGCTGCTATCCCGTGCGAGATGGCTGGCTCTTGCTGAAACAAGCAAACAAATATTCCAGTACGTAACCAACTTTGACTATGAATCTATTGCGTTCGATCGGGATCTAAATCAAGAGGTGAAGTTCAACTTTGCATGTTGAGCGTTCTGCTAAAGGTCGTAGCATCCAGTGTTTCATTCGACTGAATATCATAACTGCAATCAGATCAGTATCTGAACAGATCCGCTGAATTTTTCGAACTTGCGGCGATTGGGCGTTTCTTGAAACTATAAACTTTATACTCACCAGAGTAAAATGCGTCACTAGACACAAAAGGTTTCAAAAAATAGTATTATGGGCTCGAGCAGACAAACTTATCTGGAGCGTTACCCACTTTTATACTTTAACGCTGGACAAGTTGCCATTAGACATATTAGCATTATGGGCTTGATCATAGATTGGCTTCTAAGTCGCATATTTGGCATGGAAGGTTTTCAACGCCCCGAGCAGACAATATACGTTTTGCGTCTTGAGAAAAGCACTTTTCCACTTGTGCCCAACGCATCATATTTCAACTCCCACCTGTGATGCTGCTCAAATCTTTTTCATTGCACACCGCGCTGTTGATTGTGCTTCCGTATCAAGTCATCGCTCATGGACAGATGACTAAGCCCGTCGCGCGACCGATTTCGCAAAGATATCGAGCTGACTGTGGTGCACTCAGCGGTGCTGGAGACCAAGAACTTCAGTATGCACCTATCGAGCTGCTTAGTCGGAGAACACAATCTGATCGCCCAGCTGCAGCTACTTTTAACATAATGAACGGATGTAGAGGAACTGTTTATGAGACCAGCAACTTTGTTACCACACTTGTAGCTGGCTCTCCGTTTGAAGTCGAGTGGGTCATTCAAGCACCGCATCCTGGTATTATGGTGCTTAGCATTGTTAAACCCTCCACTGACAGCAGTGGTATAATTACGTACCACTCTGTGTTAAAACTCCTCACCATCGACCCGTTTGCCGTAAATTCAAATGACAAAACGAGTTCAGCAGCCACAATCCCCATCAGCTTCAAGGGATGTACGTCACCGGGTGATTGCGCATTGCAATTCTACTGGCACTCCGACTTGGCTAGTCAAACGTACCCAACATGTGCCGACATTGTAGTTGCTCGAAGCGGGCACTTAAGAGAGCAAATAACAACTCCACTAGAAGTTACTGTCACGCCGGCAATAGATCCACCTGAGGTGTCGGTAGAAGGAACAAATAATTGCAGATTTCGACAGCGGCAACTGTGAATTCCGAAGTCACACCAGTGATCCTCAATATAATTTTTTTTTCACACACACTTTCATACTGCATTTGTGATCCCAGTTTGTTACATGGGGGGCATGTTTAAGGAATCTGCATCAAAAGCGTAGTGTCCAGCGAAGCCTTAATGTGCTGGCTGTGGCTTTCGTGTATGCTTATCGCTCTCTTCTGTGCGCTCTGTGTGCAATATTTGTACATAAAAGTGCATTCGACGATTAAGAGAATGCTAAGGGACAGCATCTGATAAGTGATGTATTTTTTAGCTTAACGAGAAACGCGCTGTTGGTACATCTTACACACCCGTACACCTTTACAAATACAATATTATACAGATTTACGAAATTTACATTATGGTTTTGTGTGAAATTGTAAACATCATATTACACTTACACGAATGAAGATGATGGGACTCCAAATAGGAGTCGTCCGTCTTACACGAAGATTGTTAGCCTCATCTCAGGCAATAAAGAAAGGTGCATAGTCAAAACAGTTCAGGTATATCCTTCCTGTTAGTTTCATCTATTCAGTTCTAAGGATATATCACTTTTGAAATAATAAACCAAACTATAAAATGATTAACTTGAGAGGCTCAGTCCGCTTCTTGGCGGAGCGTACAAAACACAAACCCTGTGAATTTATTAATGCGGACGCTTTGAATCGAGACTTCCTCTGGCGGATTGGTAGTGCTAGCAGTCAGACCTACGACGCCGCGAAGTTGGCATAGTTGATTATGGACGTTGAAACTCCATGAATGCGCCAGAGGCGATGGAGCAGATTACCTAGCAGCACCGAAGTATTGATGTTTCATCTGTGCTTCTTACGTAACCCTCAGCTTCTGATTGTAAGGTACGAAGTATGGGGTATCAACGCAAGATTGTAAGACAATTTTGCGCAGCTTGGGACAAAATTGGGCTTAATTATACTATTATTTTGTGGTCTATGAGACCTATCGCCTTATAAAATCGAATCTCTCGTAGAGTGGGGAAGCTCTTGGGTCGGATTTGTTGATAGTTAATATTAACGTCTGAAGCTCTGATAGATTCAGGATTCACGTAGCGACTGACAGAAACAGTGAGCAGAAGCGTTGAAGGCAGAATAGGATACGGAGTCCGTGTGTCCTGACTTTGACAGAGGCTCTATTGGACCTTAAAACAGAGTTTATGAGGTTTGACAGCATAAAATGTTTGTCTCTTTTCCAATTTGCATTCGATGTATGATCCTATCCTCGAAATGGCGATCCTTTGGATGCTATAAACCGTAGAGTGACTGGAATTCGAAACGATGAAGTTTTATGCTCTTCTCTCCTTGTGAAGATTTGGTCAGTCAGCTTGTGTGTGGCCGATGGTACTGGGTACTGCAGTTTTTTTGTGCCAAAGCCGGTCAAGCTGAAGGACAACACTAGGTCGCGAGTAGAAGATATCATGCTCACTATTCCGCGCGGTAGGCTCATTAAATATTACAGCTTAGTCAGCACTACCGTCACATCGTAAAAAGGTGGACCATTTTTCGTAATTATGGGGATACCCATGATAAATAGTGACGATAATGCAATGCAAGAGCTCTTCTGGTTCTTTATAAAGCACACTTGCATGGGCATTTATCTTACAATCAAATACCTCACTGACTTAAACGTTACTCAGCATGTAGTGGTGCCTCACAATTATACTTAGATATAGAATAGTGTTCGAGGCACATGATTTGGCCACCGCAAGAAAAAGGTATCACGGCTCGAAACGCGCTATATGTTAGCTCCCTGTGCATAAAAGGAAGGATATTGAGTGTGCATATGTGAAAAGTGTCAACGAGTGAAACTTCACCGCAATCGACGGCATTATTAGCCATGATTTTGGATCCAACTATGTAAAAGTATGATTTTTGTCGTTGGACTTTAAATTGATTCGGCCGGAAAAACCAAAATTGTTGATTTTGTGGACGGTCTGAGTGAGACGTTTAGTTCGGTGCTGTCAGCGTTATTGTAAACGGTAAGGTTCTAGTCATGCTGCTCTTTGATAACGGTTTTCACCTACATGACTTGCCGCCAGCCATTCTGTCGAAAATGTTCACACAGAACTTAATCAGTTCAAAATTTCAGGCAAAATATTGAGCATTTCAGCGTCTGACCATCTGCAAACAGATTCAGACGGAACTCGTTAAGTGCATGGTGAAGAATACTCTTTGAGACACTTCACGGGAAAACATTGATTTCGCGCAAACAAAAGTCCGAACACGCTTTATGCCATTTTGGAAAGGGCATTACTAAACCTCGGGTCCGGTTGAAAACTCCCTGAAGTGCCTTCGGTCTTAGAGGCTGTCTTTTAAAATCGATTTGCCGATATCAGCACGATTGCACTTCTATGTAAAACGGTGATTTCATTTTAATGAGATTGAAAATCAAGCGCCGAGTACGCGACCCTATTGCTGAAGCCAGGATTTATAGAAGCAACGCGACAATGCTGAAGGCAGACGAAACAACCCGGAATGTGTCGCTGGAAAAAAAATCTATCTTGATTTAGCCTTTCTTATCGTAAAGTCCATTTGACAATCAAAAGAAGGTTAAGGCCACGCTTCACTGGGTTGTTTGCGGCCGTAGCAAAAACGTGATAGGTCTTTGCAAAATATCCCGAAAAAATGCAAGCACATTTTGTCTGCTACATGCTCTTACCGAAGATATAGCGATCTTGCTCTTACGAGCAAGTCGGATGTGAAGCTCACTGTTGGAGAAAAGCAGCCTTTCTACTATCCTCTGTAGCTGATCTGTCGTCTTTTATATAGCAGCGACACGGTTCTGAATATTAAAGGGCACCCCGAACCACGACGTACGCTGGCGTAATTCAAGTCATCAAGAATATGAGACGCCCAAATTGCGATCGCACACCGATACTCACGCAGATTATTGACGAACCGCAACAACCAAGTGGGCTCACGGTAGCCAGCAGCGGGATGGTCGTCCTTCACTGACGTTGGTCAGTGGTCAAGGGAAAGCTCACTTGCGCTTGATAAGTCTAGTGGGCCGACTTAGCGTCAGGGCCGTTACCAGAAAAAAAATTAAGCTTGAGGCTTTATTCTGGCAAGAATGTCCTAATGCAATTGAAGTTTATGGCTTGGAGCACACTTGAGCCTCACAAATGATCTGCCAGTAGCAGCGCACTTTTCGTCATCGAGTAAATACCAATCCTTGCTGTAAGTTTGAGAGCTGATTCATAGCTATAAGAAACTGCCTCTAGGAAACGAGTGGAGCAAATGGCATCAAAAGTCAAGTACAATTTTCCACGTCGACGTCAACGCTACGCTTTATATCTCGTAATGTCAAGCATTACTCTATGCTCCAGTCGGGCATCAGCTTCACCAAAGCTAGTTTTAAGACTCATAGACTGGCAAGACGCCAGACTCTCCTCACACAAAGCGCGAAGTGAGTACTCTTTAACACATTATTCGACATTCAGCAACAAACGCACCGCCCTTAAAGAGACTAAGGGCATCCATTGCTGCTTGCTTAGTGTTAGGTGGTAGTCCTGAGAATTCTCAATGACGCGCTCGCTTAAAATGTTTTGAAGCTCGTTTCACTATCGATGCGAGCAAAGGGCTCAGAATCCGCCACGGTGCGGCGAGCAACTATCGGTGGCTTGAAATTTTATACACGATGGGACGACATTGGCAAGAATCGGTGTATCTTGTGCGCTTGGCGATTAGGAAGCAGACTCCCCGAACTAGGTTACGAGTGACGAACTGGACAGAACTGTTAGTTTGACGACGAGATGCAATACCACCCACTCTAAATTAAAAGCATGATTTTTTTGGCTTGTCTCACCGGAGAACATTTCGGCTTTATCACCAAAAATAGCTCCGAAAGCGTATGTTCGCAAAAGCCGCGATTTTTTCGAAGGCTCGCCAAGCAGTCTCATATGAAATTTGGGAGTAACTTCTAACGCGACGATGCCCTTGGAAAAATGACCTCTATGGTGTAAATAGTAGAGCGACGTTCCCTACGCAGTGGATCCTAGTTCTGCGTTTGTTAACGCAAAAAGACAAAACAGTGTGAGCTTATACGTACTCCACATGTCAGTGGAAAGATGTCGCGAAATATCTACTGCACGATGATATGCGTACCCCGTCTCGTCAAACAAACATGTGTGAGCACAGTATTTTTCAGTTCTACGATTTTGATTGTGGGTATACCCAAGCAGCAATGTATCGAATCTCATGAAGATAAGTCTAAGATACGCGTGGGGTTGTCAACGTAATGTCAAATAATAAGTATCAGCAAGAACTGGATACAGCAAAATATTTAATTATAGCAAACTATATTCTCTAGTATAGGTTCAAAAACTTTTGATATGTCGCTTTTGAAATAGCAGGGCAACCCGGAACAAAAAACATTTCAGAAGCCCTCTGGTTTGCTCTAGTTGAGCGTACGAGCTCAACTTCTGCATAATTTCAAACGCAAACTTTTTTGTGCGCAAAGCGTATTACATTTTCTTTCACGCACACTTTTAAATGTCGCTTAACCAGAAACTATTAGTGCCTTTTGTGGATATCGGCAAAGGGGACCACCAGCCAGTTCACAATGTTCTAGATCGTCGCCAAATCTGTAACGGGATTACACGAACCGTGGTATGAAGAGGCGGGTCACACAAGATGGTGTGACCTTACAAGGGTGTGGTTTACACAAGACGGTGCACTAACACAATGGTGTGGCTACACTCAAATAACAAGTCAGTACGTGGCTGGACCGCCAGTAATTATGCATTTTAATCAGGTTTTCCTATTTGATTAGGGAAAAGCTATTAATTTAGATATAGGCGGCTCTGCCCCAAATAAACCCAAGAAATACAGTTTACCTTAGAACGAAAGAGTAATTTGCTTTGGGCTACCGTTGTGGATACTCTTGGAGGAAGCGGTTCGCGATCCGCCACACTGGTACTGGTTCTAAGTAAAGAACGTAGGTCACCAACCTTAGCTTAGCTTCCTTCTAGCGAAAGAGCTACGG